CTACTTTGGCCTCCCACATATGTATAGTTTCTTTAATTTCTATGAATGAGTCTCAGCAAGAGTTGCAGGTTAACAGTATTTATTAAATATGTTCTTAAAGAATAGATCAATAAAACTATTAAGTAACTTATATTTGTTTATTTTTGAAAATAGACTTGATTTTTGGAAGCACTTTTAGGTTCACAGCAAAATTGAAAGGACATCTTAAAGATTTCCCATATGCCCCCACCTTTCCCCATGCTCCCCCACTGTCACCATCCCCCACCAAAGTGGTTCCTTGGTTGCAATAATTATTGAACCTATCACTATACATCACTGTACATCACTAGTGCCCAAATTCCATAGTTTCCATTAGGGCTGACTCTCTGACTTTTTATTTTTTAAAGAAGCTTTCTCTTAAAAAAAAAAAAAAAGTTACAGTAAATAGAATGAGGGCTCTATAATGTTACCTCTTTTGTAAAACAGGAAAATCTAAAGTATCTAAACATGTGACCTTTCTATGAGCATGTGGCATTTAGTTCTAGGTTTTATAATGTATGTGTGACAAAATGAATATGATGGGGACCCAGAGAGCCACATGGGGAAAGTTGGAAAGGTTCTAGGAACCAGACTATTTAACAGAAAAGAGTTGCTTAGCGTGAGTTTCACATCAAGTCCACTTTATAATGGATATTTAAATCCCTACTCCAATTACAAAGCAGAAGTATTCCTATTGGGCATAAAATATAGCAGGGAGCTGAGTTATGTGTGAGGAGGAGCTCTACGCCTATGGTTAAAAGATGGAATTTTGACATAGGTGCTATGGCTTCTTAGAGAGCTTAAAAGTAGTGGATAAATTCATAGACTATGAAAATGTCAAAATGAAAGAGACTAAGAGATCTTCTTCTCTTATCCTACTGTTATAGGTTAGTGTCAAGCAGATTGTTTACCTGGGATAATTTAGGCGTAGCCTCTCCTAAAGGTAAGAGGTATCTTAAATGAGTGCCTGAAAGTCCTTTCCAGAAGCACAGCTCTGTGGCTTTGCAAGTTCTGGGTGAAAATCTCATGAACTTTTAATGTAGGTAAATGATGTGTGTGTTAGGGATGAAAAGAAAATGTGTTTCTACCTCTGAGGGCATTTAGTGTCCAAGTGCGCTGATATTTTTTAACATAAGCTAGATTAGTGTATTAAAATAAGCACAATGGCTGTGGGACTTCAGACAGAAAAGGTTACCTGTGATGTTAAGGATCAGAGAAGTCCACAGAAGGAGGCAGCATCATTTAAATTCAGCAGTGATTAGGTATGAGCATGTTTACTACCTGCACGGAGGATTATCTTCTTTTTAACTTTTGATTATGAAAACTTTTAGGTGTATAGAAAACCTAAAAGAACAGTACAGTGAGTATCTGTATACTCAGTTAGATTCAATAACTTAACATTTTGTATAGTTGTTTTAACTCTGAATTTATAGATGTGCTTATGTGTGTATGGTGTATGTGTTGGTTTTTCTTTTTTTCTTTCTTTTTTTTTTTTTTGAGACGGAGTTTTTGCTCTGTTGTCCAAGCTAGAGTGCAATGTCACCATCTCGGCTCACTGCAACCTCTGCCTCCTGGGTTCAAGAGATTTCCCTGCTTCAGAGTAGCTGGAATTACAGGCATGCGCCACCACACCCAACTAATTTCTGTATTTTTATTAGAGATGGGGTTTCAACATGTTGGCCAGGCTGGTCTCGAACTCTTGACCTCAGGTGATCCACCTGCCTCAGCCTCCTAAAATGCTGAGGATTACAGCCCAGCTGTATGTGTTAGTTTTTCAAAAAACCTTTTAGAAAGTAAGTTACAGGGATCATGACATTTTTACCCCTGATATATCCACTGGCATCTCTTAACACAATTCTACTATCTCTTCTCTTACATAACCACAATTCTATCAAAATCTGAAGAAAATTAATAAGATAACATTAATATCACCTAATTTCTGTTTTCTATTTCAAACTTCCCTAATGATCTGTATCTTTTACAGCTTTTTTTTTTTTTTTCCAAGCTTGGATTTAATCAGGGTCAACACACAGCATTTTGTTTTAATAATTCCTAAACCTCTTTTACTCTACAGCAGCCTGTACTGCCTCCCCCTCCCCATGCTCAATTTTTGTTTCATGATATTGACTTTTAAAAGGATCAGACCAGTTTTCTTATAGCATATATTGATACCATATCTTGCAAGTATTTTTGTCAACTGAAGATTTTTAAAGTCTTTTAGAAATCAAAATATGTATTTTCTAAGAGCTATATTTCCAGATTATCTGCTAGCCCTGAAAGCCATTATCCCTGATACACCATTTTCAGTAGATAATGTACTTTAAAATAATCTTTATTTGCAAAAATGATAAAAGGCAGTTGTAAGATGCTAGAACAATTTAGAAACATATAAGTTTAGAATTCTATTTAACATCAGGTAGCTCTGAGATGAAAATTTGGCCAAACTTACGTTCTTTCCTGTTCGTGTGTTTTTGTATTTCATAAAATTGCGATCATCGCAATTAAAACAACTTTAAACACGTTGTTTAAAGTTTGCTTTTTATTTTCCTAGTTATGCATTGCAAATGATGTTCCATGGAATATGTAGTAGAGATTGTTTTTGCTGAGATAAATGCGTACCAAGCCAGCCACATTCTTTCCTAGGTGTTTACAGTGAGACACACACCCGAATGTAAAGTGCCTGGCTCAGGATTAAAAATATGGCTTGTGCCCACAAAGCAAATATTTTTCTGTTTGAGGCTTTCTGGTTAATGCAGGAATTGGATCTTGGCCTCTTCTGATCTGTACTTTAATAAGTTGAGGGGAATTCATGAGTAGTAAACACCTAAGGGCTCTATATTTGAATATTTGAATTTTGGCTCCCCCCCCCCCCACTGTTTTTCTTGCGGTGGGGGTGGGAGGGTCATTTCATATTCTTTTCTGTACCCTATCAAAAGATCAGATTGGCTTACCTTAGAGGCAAACATGATACTCTGCCAACATAAAGGGATGTAGAAACGTTAATCTATTTTACCAAGCCAGAGCTTCTGGCATATGCATTTTAAGCCATCATAAAACATATACCTGTCATGTTAAGGAATGTGCCCAAGGCAAGTATCAAAAGACCTGCTCTGGGAGGCTGGGGAGTATGTTTTGCTGTGTTGTAGGGTTATACCCTGACAACCTCCGTGAGGCATGAGTACCGGCAGGGAGTGGTTTATAAATATTGAAGCCATTTTATTTATTAACTTAAGAATTCCTACAAGTAGTAGCTCTTCCTGTTTGTATATCCAAGTGTCTTGGGGCTTAGGGGGTAATTCTGTGTCAGCATATGGATGAAGAGTGTAAATCCTGAGTGGATCTGCCTGTTAGGGAATCAAGTTAACAATCAGGTGAGCAAGAGATAGTCTGTTGAGCTTAATGGAGAACAGAACATTTGGACAGAAAAGATTTCTGGACATTTCTGGCTTCTTTGAAAGACAAGTTTAATGAGCCTCCCAGCAAGATTGCTGGCCCAGGATGGAACTTAGGTAAGGTTACTTTTGTTGTTATTTTATTCTGGTGTTGTCCATAGCAATAATGTCATCATTTTCATTTGGTGGGACATCAGGATGCCAGTAAGTCTTCTTACTATAATGGTAAGTTAAATTATCTGTAATTTGGTTAGAGGACTTTTGCATCAAGCATTTTGTAAAGGAACAAGATGATGGTAGGGTGGTTCCCCACATCTGTCTAAATATTTGTTGAAAAAAAGACAAAGAGTTGTAATTTTTAAGTGCTTTGAAGAATTCATGTCTTTCAATTAAAAAAAAAAAAAAAGTAGAAGTAGCTGGCTGGGTGCCATGGCTTATGCTTGTAATCCCAGCACTTCGGGAGGCCAAGGTGTGGGGATCGCCTGAGGTCAGGAGTTCAAGACTAGCCTGGCCAATATGTTGAAACCCCATCTCTACTAAACATACAAAAAATTAGCCTGGCGTGGTGGCAGTTGCCTGTGGAAGCTGAGGCAGGAGAATCGCTTGAAACCAGAAGGCGGAGGTTGCTGTGAGCAGAGATTGTACCACCGCACTCCAGTCTGGACGACAAGGCGAGACTTTGTCTCAAAAAAAAAAGGAAGTAGCTGACTGTGTTATATGCATATTCCCACCATGTTTTATCATTCATTCTAAGTAAATAATAAAGTTAAAACATAAGACATGAAAATAAAAATAATGTTCATAAAAGTAAAGAGACAGTGTTGCAAAGAAAGAGGAGGAACAAGATCAAATTTTCAGTTCAGTGCGGCACTTAAGTCTTTAAACCTCACTTTTTTCACCTGTAAAATAGACACCATAGTGTTGTTCATGAGATTGGAATGAGATAATATATTTAGAAGTTTAAAAAACAAGATAACAGTGTTTAACTTCTACTTCCAGTGGGTTTTTAAAAAATTTTATTTGATACAGAATCTTACACTGTTTCCCAAGCTGGGGTACAGTGGCACAATCATGGGTCACTGCAGCCTCGACCTTCCAGCCTCCCAGGTAGCTGGGACTACAGACACACACCATCATGCCTGTTGCCCAGGCTGGTCTTGGACTCCTGGGCTTAAGTAACCTTCTCACCTTAGCCTCCCAAAATGCTGGGATTGCAGGCATGAGCCACCATGCCCAGCCTCCTAGCATTTTCTTGAGTGGACACTATTGCAAAGTGAAAACAGCATGTGAACTGAAGTTGCGTAGACACTGGTTTAAATTCTGGCTTTGCCATTTACACCATGAATGAGTTCTCTATTCTCTTTGGACCTTCGTTTCTTCAACTATAAAGTGGCTTTTATGATATCACCCTTCTAAGATGGCATAGGGCACGGGCTCTGCCAGGACACATAGGAGCCCCAGAGCTTGCAGCTTGTCAAATCTGGATATTGATCAGTTGGGGGACGAGTGTGTGCTTCTCTGTGTGTGGAATACGGTACCATCAACAGATCCCTTCCAGAGCATGACCATGGTGTTTCTTTTCACCTGCAGCTATCTTCCAGAGGGCCGCACTGGGCATGGACACCCTTTTCCCTACCTGGAGGAGCACAGGTGATAGTGTAATTTTCCAGTCACGAAACTGCTAAGGCCATCTCAGGGTCGTGTGCGCCAGGATAGGAGGGCGGCACCCGAGGACCACGTAGCCATGCCTTTTGGTCTGAAGCTCCGCCGGACACGGCGCTACAACGTCCTAAGCAAGAACTGCTTTGTTACACGGATTCGCCTGCTGGACAGCAATGTTATCGAGTGCACGCTGTCGGTGGAAAGCACAGGGCAAGAATGCCTGGAGGCTGTGGCCCAGAGGCTGGAGCTGCGAGAGGTAAGAGGGGTGTGTGTACACACGCGTGCATGCGTGTTGGGTGTGCGAAGGAGAACTCGGCAAAGGGACCAGCCATCTGCTTCTTGGCATCTGTCATGTTTTTTGACCTAAGCGACCATGTGTTTATAAGAATCCTGTTATTCTTAGCACGGGTGTGATCTTATCTACCAGTGGTTGGGGAGACTTGTACTGATGTGAACACCGCCTAGAGCTGCATGGCGTGGCAGGCTCTTATTTCAGCTGGCGAGGAGGTTTGAGGGGAGTTGAAAATGAGAGACTCTCCCCACCAGAGTCATTTTCTCTCTTTAAAACAATTGAGTGGGTAGCTGGTATTTTGGCATTCTGGCTGCACATCAAGGAGAAAGACACCCACATACAGATGCATGCAGCTGCTTTTTTTTTTTCTTTTTTTTTGGTTGTTTCTATATTTTCCTCTTAAAAAAAAATAATAAAGAGAAAAAACATTTAGAGTGAGCATGACCAGTGAGGCTTTTTGTGGGAGCCTGTAAAACGGGGGTTTTGTTCCTTTTTTAAGAATCCTCGCAGCTCTCTGCATCGTCTGTGAGATGGCTTTTAAGCAGACGCAGGGCTGACCACTTAGACAGTCATGCTATCACTCTTTACAAGGGACTCTCAGAACAGTATGCTGTTTAAGACAGCCAAGCCCTTCATTTTTCAGTCACGCAGACATTCAGGACAAGAGACTTTTGTGAGCAATCTCCACTTCAGCATGTGTCTTGAGAGCCGTCTGACATATTGACCAGTGGAGACGGTGGTACCGTTTAGTGGTTGCCAGTGCAGAATGACTGCAAGCCCTAAGACTCAGACATTCCTGAGGGCAAGGAAAAGCTGTGTGTCATAGTCCTAGGTACTGGGGTTCTTGGAGAGTCCATGTGACAGCACTGCCCAGCACCTCAATGACAGAAGAGGGATGGCAATCACTGTTGGAAGTGATTTCATGTGGCCTCTCTCCACCTGCTTACAAAGGAATTGGGGCTCGGGAGAGTCTTCCTCTCCCCTTGACGTCTTCCACAGGCTGGCTGTGACTGTTTTTCTCTGGGAAACTGTTTCACCCAAAATGTATCTGTTTCCTGCTGTTCTTTGTGTTTATACTGTGGTTTCAGTGAGCAGGTATTCCTAAGTTTTTTCTGTTTTTCTGTGAAGGAGGCTGTCTTGGTAACTGCCACAATAGGATAAATGTGTGAAATGTTCTCATCTTGTTGATTGGAAGCTGGCTGTCTTTTTCTCATTGGCGACACATTAGGGTACACACATTTAAACACACATGTGCGTAAGTGCATGGGCATAAAGAGAAAACTTTAATACTGTAGATTGGCTGGGCAAGAGACTTGTCTAAGTTTTTATAGAAAATTTAATTGTACACTACTTACAAAGATTTGCAGTGTTTTTACTTTTAAGTACTTCTGGTCACTCAAATTAGAGCAACTAATTATTCCTCGTATGCATTGGGACAGTGTAGCATGTTGTCATGTAGTTACAAGTATAGGCATTGGAGTCATGGCCTTCGGTTCAGCTTACAGTTCTGTCATTTATTATTTGGGTGACAATGGAAAAGCTACTGAATCTTTTGGGGGATAAATGTCTCACCTATAAAATGGGAATAATAATGCTTACTTCATAGGGCTGTTGTAAATATTAAAATAGTTCCTGTATGGAAAATGTGTAGTGCTATGTCTAATGATTTATAATTGTTCAAATTTGAGAGTCTTAACCACTTGAAAAAAACCCAACTTTTTTTGTGAAAGAAAATATTGAACAACTGTCTTGTGCCAAGCACAGTTTTAGAACTTGGTGAAATGAAGATAAACAAGGTACAGTTTTACTTCCAAGACATGTAGAACAGTAGGGGAGGCAAGCCTTTAAATGAACAGTTAAGGTTGAACGTGGTCCGAGCTAAAATCGAGTGCAGGGGTAGGCCCGAAAGACGATGGCTATCTTAGTGTTGTGCAGTGCACTTCCAGCCCACTGAACACTGCAGTCTTGCTGGTGAGAGAGACAGAGTTGATGGAAGATGAACAAAGCCTTCAGTCTGAACCAAGACTTGAAGCGTATGTACGAGTCCAGCAGGTAGAAAAGAAGGCCATGTCAAAAAAAAAAAGGAAAAGAAAAGAGGGCCGTGTCATCTGTAGTGTGGGGAGCTGGATTATCAAAGATTCAAGGATGTGAAAGAGCAGCCACCGTTCTTGGGGCTGAGAAGGGATCCCTCCAAATGACCGGGTCGAGCTAGAGTTCATAATGAATGGTGAGGGGTGTCTGGAGATGTGTATGGTAATAATGGCTCTCAACAGACTATTGTTTTTCTCAGCGAAAAGGCAAAAGTCAACCCTGGATCATCCCACAGCTACCTTGTGGCAAAGAATGAAGCAGTGCAGTGCCAAGTGTGTGCCATAGTGTGATTGACATTCCGTCGCTGAGGTGGGGTTTGCCTTTAATGCTGACTTTATTTTGACATGCCCTAATGGGTGCATCCACATTTGACCACGTCATGTTCTTTTTAAATTTTATGCTTTCATTCTATGACAGATAACATTGAAGTTGTGCCCTTTTGAGAATCAATCCTCTAGATACTCCTGAATTGAAGGATGCAACAGAGTAATCTGATACTTTGTTCTGCCTCAGCACAAACACACCTTAAGGAAAAATGTACCCGCCACCCAAAAGCAGAAGAACGAGGAGGTGAACACAGGGTCTGCTCCTCATACCTTGGATTTGTATTTGGATTAGTTTTCAAATAGAGCCGATACTGGTTTAGAGGAGAAGGTGACAACCAATCTGAGATACAACAAAAAGTTTAGTCTTTTTTCGAAAGGGGTGTTGGGGCCTAACTCTGCTGCACAAGATGGAGTGCAGTGGCATGATCATGGCTCGTTCAGCCTCTACGTGCTACGCTCAAGTGATCTTCCTGCCTTGGTCTCCTTAAGTGCTGGGATTACAGGTGTGAGCCTCCCACCCAGCCAAAATATATTTAATCTTTTTTTTTTTCCCATTGAGACAGGATCTTGCTCTATTGCCCAGACAGGAGTGCAGTGATATGATCATGACTCACTACAGCCTCAATTTGCTGGGCTCAAGTGATCCTCCCACCTCAGCCTCCCAAGTAGCTGAGACTTTAGGCACATGCTACCATGCCCAGCAAATTTATACACTTTTTGTAGAGATGGGATCTCACTCTGTTGCCCAGGCTGGTCTCAAACTCCTGGGCTCAAGCAATCCTCCCGCCTTAGCCTCCCAAAGTACTAGAATTATAGATGTGAGCCACTGTGCCCAGCTCAATATGTTTCATCTTTATGAAGACTTAGAAACTAAATTATGGTGGATATTGGGCTTTGCCGTTACAAGTAGTTTAAGTATATCATAAATTTTGTAAGAGCTTTATATTAGGAAAGTATGTATGGTAGATTAAACTTTTTTTGATTGAATTTTTTATTTACATTATTTGTTTTGCCACTAAATTTTATAATTTTTTAATAGACTTTATTTTTAAGACTTTGATTTCTTAGAGCAATTTTAGGTTTGCAGTAAAATTGAGAGGATGATACAGAGAATTTCCATATACATGTACATCCTCCCCACTGTCACCTTCACCCCCAGAGCGCCACATTTCTTATGATTGTTGGACCTACATTGGCACATCATTATCACCCAGAGTCCAGAGTTTACCTTGGGGCTTACTTTTGGTGTTGTACATCTGTAGGTTTGGACAAATGTGACATGCTGCTATTTAACGTGGCATTCGGAAGGACCCAGGCCTGGTTCTTATTGTCAGCAAACAGCCATTCTCTGGGAAGGTTGAATGTGATGGAGTCTCTGCTCTCAGAAACCAGACAGGGTCTTTGTTCCTACAGTTTAGAGAACAGGACAAACAAGAAACAAAGCAAAGGGAGTAGCTGGTGCTGAGGTACAGAAACAGGAAAGAACATGGAATTTTCAGGGAAAGGCTGAGTTCAGTTTGCACTGATTGTGTGTGTGTGTGTGTGTGTGTGTGTGTGTGTGTGTGTGTGTGTGTGTGACAGAGAGAGAGAGAGAGAGAGAGAGAGAGAGAGAGAGAGAGAGAAAGGGGTCATGGAAGGGAAGGAGAGTAAAGGAGGGAGAGGCAGGACCGAGTCTGCCTTTGAACGGTTTGTTCTGTCTCCCTAGGGAGTTTTAACTAGATCTATAGAATAGTATTTCTAAAATAAGTTACAAACGATAATTACCACCTTTTGATGTATATACTGTGCTGAGTAGTTTCCATATATCAGCTCATGTAGTTCTCATAAGAAGTCTGTGACGTGTTCCTACTCTTGCTGTTCCTGTCTTACAGATGGGGAGGCCACAGCTTAGGGTGACCTGCCCATAGTCCTTGGGCTGGCAAGTTGTGAGGCCGGTTCAAACTCTGGCAGGCTGACACCCCTGTTCCAATTCCCAGAGCTGTGTAGTGGGGGAACAGGGAGTGTGGTAAAATGCATTGGGAAACTCTCTCCTCAATTCTATAGTAAAAGGAAGAAAATGGTGTTCCAGTAAGTGTTTCACAGTTATCTTAGCTTTCTAGAAAATACACTTTTGAACTATTTGGGGAATAAAATAGTGCTGTGAAGTATAAGGTCATCAAAGGACTCCAAGGAGGAGCATGACATGGTTACCTTGCATGTTAGGTGAAGAACTCAGCAGTAGAAAAGAGTTGGGATCAGCTGGGCGCGGTGGCTCACGCCCATGATCCCAGCGCTTTGGGAGGCTGAGGCGGGCAGATCCCCTAAGGTCAGGAGTACGAGACCAGCCTGGCCAACATGGTGAAACCCCGTCTCTACTGAAAATACAAAAGTTAGCTGGGTGTGGTGGCACACGACTGTAATCTCAGCTGCACAGGAGGTTGAGGCAGGAGAATCGCATGAATCTGGGAGGTGGAGGTTGCAGTGAGGTGAGACTGAGGTCCTGCCACTGCACTCCAGCCTGGGTGACAGAGTGAGACTCTGTCTCAAAAAATAAGCAGAAAAGAGCGA